CACACACACACACACACACACACACACACACACACAATGGAATTCTATTCTTCCATCAGAAAGAATGATATTATACCATTCATAAGGAAATGAAAAGGCTTGAAAATAATTATATTAAGTCAAGTAATCCAGACCCAGAGAAACATAGTATGCTTCATTTCCCTTAGTTGTGGTACCTAGAATATAACTATAAATCTATAAGTAAGCACACTGGATAATAAAAGAGAAAATATACACTTGAACATGATAAATTATACAGGACTCTAGACATTCACATGCAGTGAGACCAAAAGAGGATAATGCATTCTTAGGAGAGGAACACACAGACTCAATAGCTATGTGAATCTGGTCTTTTTTTTTTTTGTAAAAGTCAGGTTTGTTTTTATTTAATACATTCTAATCAAATAGTACCAGCAGTAAATAAACACTTGGAAAAGCAGGTAGGTATTCCCCTGTATCTGGAAGGAAATTAAGTCAAACTGCTGATGTCCATGGTTAGATAATTCAAGGACACCTTGGAAATTTCTAAAGCCATTTCCAAAATTAGTGGCAACCAGTCAGGACACAGCTACTTCAAAGGGTGAAATGCCTTCCTATCTACATTGGTATTCTATTACCAGGGGTTGGGTTACACCAGTAGAACATTGATATTTTTGTCTTTAGCCTTAAAAGAAAAAGGAAAGCCTTTTTCATTTGCACCAATTTCAAAGGATTCAGAAATAAGACTCCCTTGAAATGTATTACTAGAGTACTCGCTCACAGGAGAGGTTCATACGTGTAGTAAAAAGACAAACACAGGACTTCATGGTCCTATTTTTTTTGTTGACTTTCTTAATTGCATATAATGAAGGATAAGTACTCACAAGCATGATCTGTTTAACAAAACTCCTAAGTACATCAGAGTGTAAAATACAAAATGCCCTAAAACTGACTCTGATAGACAGGCATGTAAGACTAAAGCTAGGGCTGGGTCAGGTGGGGAACTCTTACTTACTAAAGCAAAGGAGTTTCAGAAAGACAGGACATTCTGATCAAATGTTTACAGGGCCTTTCTTGGGATGTTTGATTGACAAGGATTGTCTGGTCTTGGTCAGCCTTAGGAAAGGAAGCATTGCTCAAATGCAAATGTCTAAGGGAACTTTAAATACTTTGCTACCTCATCACACATTTACATTAATTGACTTCAGCTGTCCTTAAGGAAGAATTCTGTGCAATTATCCAGAGTAGTCACTCAAGTTTTGGTTCTCTCTCTTTTTGTTATATAGCTGTATTAGAAGATAACTCAATATGAGGCATGTTTGTGAATCTGATCTTATAGAAAAATATTTATTAAAATGATCCCCATGAAATGGAAACAAGAGATTTCTTCCATTGTTGATGTTTTTGTTTTCCTTTGTCTTGTTTGCTCATTTTTTGCTGTCTTTGAGAGGATAAGGGGTGGGGAGAACACAGAAATAGTGGGACAAAGAGTGAACAAATGCAGCAGTGATACTTACTAGACATTTTGTAGAAAATGAATTCTACAACTTGTGTGTGGGAATGGGAAGGAAAAACTGGGAGAGAGCAAGGGAAGGGGTGGTATTGCTCAAAAAGGAATGTACTCTTTATCTGACTTACGTAACTGTCATCCTTCTATACATCACCTTGACAATAACAATAAAATGCATTAAAAGAAAAACAGAATCTTTAAAT